ATTACAAGAAAATACATGTGACTTCATACCATAACAAAAAATGGCCCACGTTTTTAAGTTTTACCTACCTACCCATATTTCACATATTTGAAAGCGTTAGCAAATTCAAAATTTGTGTTCTTACAACAAATGCTTCTAAAAGCTATGGAGTTAAATATGTATTCTCACAATCTTTGGTTTCACTCTTTCTTCTTCTCACATCTTCTATATATGCTTCAAGGATCCGTGTAGTTTGTGCTTCTCCCCCTATGTCACATAGTTGCAATGTAAGAAAATTGAAGAGTAGAAGTCCACCATTGAAGGCCATTCAAAGCTTTGCTTTCGAAAATAGGATTTTTTTGAGTTTATTAGTTGTTTGGATTGGATGTTGTTCCAATTGATTGAAAATATCAAAAGAAGTTCAAAATTTAAATTTGAAGTGATTTGGAGTAGATTTGAGCAAGATTTGAGTTAAATTTCAGAAAAGACGTAAGGAAAAAAAAGAAGTCATTTTTGGTATAATTATGTATAATAGTGTATATGAGTGTATAAACACATCTTATACACTATTATAAACCTTTATACAAGCGTCTGTAGACGAACTTCTTTCACAATTTTCAGCTGCAATTCTTGTTCAAAACCAGTCCAAATCTCCATTAAATGACTTCAAATTTTATATACAACCTCTTTATACTATTTCTAACAAGTTTAAATAATACCCACTCCAAATTTCTCATAAAATCAAATTCGAAATTTAAACCCACATATTTAATTTTCACCACCCAAATAGATTTGGTTTGTTGAACTAAACTTGAGTCATAGTTACTGATTCGAAAATTAACTTAAAAGCTTGATCAATCTTTTTAAAAATTAAATAGTAATTTCGAGAACCTATTGAAGTTGGATGTTGAATCTTAGCCTATTATTTTTGGGCTAGTTAGTTGTAAATTAAAATATGGGCTATAAAATTGAAAAATAGGGAGTCCAATTGTTCTTATGTGAAATTTTCCCTTTTCTATATCATGGAGTAGTGGAAGTTATGGCATATTTTATTTTAGGCGTAATGACTTCCTGGCCACTTAAACTTGTAGAGCTTTTGAAAGTCGATACACAAACTTTGGATTTTCCCATTTGAACACTCCAACTTGACAAAATGGGTAATAATAAACACATTTGACCGTTGACCATGCCTATGTGGAAGCACTACAGCAGACATGGCTAAACTGTGTGCAAATCACGCTCCCAAGACGCGTGAATAGTATTGTTTTTACTTAAAAAAATTAGAATTAGAATAAACTATAAATAAAAAAGAAAAAAAAGACTTTTCCAATTTTTTCATCTTCCCAGGTGTCTACCATGGATTAAGTGATGCTATCATATGAGTAAGTGATGCTACGAACTTCACCAGACCATGCCGGAGCATGTAAGTTCAGAATCCTAGTGAAAGAGGTTGAGTAGAACTGGAGGGTGCATTGGCATTTGGTCGAACACTGTTATATGAACAGTGTGCAGAATGACCATTTTGGATATTCGAAAGATTTGGCCCATGTAAGGTCTGGTTTGAAGGTTTGCAAACATTCTCCTGAGGAGCAGGAGTAGTTTAGCATTGGTTTTGAGTCCTTTGGTTTGCCTGGTCACCTTGCCCGACCAACTGGTAAAGTTTTGAGTTTTCAACTTGGTGGTGATGGTTGATTTCTTGAATGGATTGAGCTGAATCTTTGCCTAGAGGATCCATGGGTGTAGTAGAAGGGATTCCAATTGGAAATTGATCTCCAATTGGCCCAGAATTAATGTTCACATTCTTACTAACACTCTGAATATTAAAAATGTGAACATTTAACGAAATGAAGAACAAGTCAGTATATAAAACTTAAATAAGGTATAAAATCATTCCCCCAATAGAATTTATTTTATTCCATAATTGTTCAATCCCAAAAAGAAAGGAAAAAATCTTCTATTAGAATTTTATTACTCGTTAGGTCATAAAAAGTAACTTAGTGGGCGTTTGGACATAAAAATTGTAAAATTCCAAAAAAAAAAAGTGAAAATGGTATTTAAAAATTAGAGTTGTGTTTAGACATGAATATAATTTTGGGTTGTTTTTGAAGTTTTGTGAGTGATCTGATTGAAAATTTTGAAAAACAACTTTTTGAAGTTTTTCAAATTTTCGAAAAATTCCAAAATACATTTTCAAGTGAAAATTGAAAATTTTATAAAAAATGAAAAATTTTCTAAAAAAGGGAAAACTTTTTATGTCCAAACGGGCTCTTAATTTCTTGGTCAACCATCATATATCCTCAATAGCCGGAGATGATTATGTTTTTTTGGTAAGGGGAAAAACTCGCAACCGCTACAACCTCTATAACAGATTCTGCTCTTCGGGTACAGCCTCTGCCCTTCGGGTGAGCTGCACTCTGTGATGAGCACTTTGTTCACAAATCTGGTAAAATATATAGAAATCTGGTCAAAAGCTATACAACTTGAATACAATTTTTACGTGAACAAAATCCGATCAATGCTACAATTTACATACAACTTTTATATAATTTTTTGGTATAGAATCCGGTCAAAAAACTATAATTTACATACAACTTAGATACAATTTATTTATATTTTTTTTTCGAGTTTCAATCTAAAATTCCAACCCAAACTCGAATCTTCACAAAATTCTTTCAAAATTGAGATATAAAATCCAAAGGATATTCTCAATCATTTGCAACAATACCCAACCTAAACAAATAACAATTTCGTAAAATTCGATTTTATCGATGGAGTTTAAGCTCATGTCTTCACGTTTCACCTACCCAAACAAGATGTAGCTTCAGGTCCAGTTGGTTAAGTTTTATTTTTGACTTGGTTAATTTGTTCTTTTCGTATTAATATTTCCTCCCTTTAAAATTTTTCATTTTGATTTCGGTGTATGATTCAAGCGATTATGATGACCATTGTTCCTCGTATATATAGATATAGATATAGATATCTAAGGTAAAATTCACCCAAAAAAGGTTAAGTATCCAACTAGTTAATCATCATCTAATCAGAGAAAACACTGCTTCATGTGCTCGAATGGGTGTGGAAAGGTTGCAGAGTCCGCTTTCGGCAGCTAGTAAATTAAAATGTTCGAACCTAGTCTATCAAAATGTACTGTATATAATTAGTAAATTATATTAGATTGTAATTAAGTTAAATAAAATTTTAATATAATATAACTAGATAAAATATTTTTTTTTTCTTTTAATGGAAGCCCTTCCCATAAAAGGGGTGGTTGAAGATGAGTATAATTAAAAAAATTGATTCGATTAGAGTATTTCCCAAACTGTGTTTTCATTAAACTCTCAACAAACTAGTCAACAAAAGACGAGCTACATTACAACAAGACAAGTCCTTTTCTGACAATAAAAGTTTAACAGAACAACTTTTTCAAAAAGATATCTAATTATAGTATACACTAGTACAGTGCATTATTTTCACACAACTAATCTTTAATTAACCAATTAATGCGAGTTATTTACAGCAGCATCATTGTTTAACCCAAAAATAAATTTCTCGGTCAAAGTCAATATTTAGAAGAAATCGGGGTATTGCTAATCAAGATTTACTTCACTTTCACAACAATTTGGAAGAATAGATTAAGAAATGAAAATAATTGACAAAGAAAATAAGAAATGAACTAACAATCACTCCCAAAAATTACAGCTTAGAGCTTTGAGAGTAACGCAAAGAATACCTATACGAATTTCAATAATAATCGTTACTTGCCATTACAAATGAGAATTCAGTCCTTATATACAATTATAACGGTTCCCTTACTTAATTTGAGCTCACTAATGGAATTAATTGCATTGATTGATCGTTATCATGTTCAATCGTAACGGAAGCATTTACGACTAAAGATTCCTTGTAAATGCACCGATTTTCCTTCCTTATTTATGTCAGGTTCGTGTACCTTCCCTTCTTTACAGCCTTTATTCATCCCGTTCCTGTTTCTTCTTTTACAGCTATCAGATACGGTTTTTTCCTCAGCGTAATCCCGTGGGTTTTTTTCCCGTGCCTTTTCCGCATTCTTTAACTCATCTAATTAAGAATGACACTTGTCCTTACATCGATGTTTCACGTATCATGCCTCGTCGGCTTGTTGATAGCCCACGTATCATGCCTCGTCGGCTTGTTGATAGCCCACGTGTCATGCCTTTTTCCAATACAATCATTAGGTCACCAAAACAGGATAGCAACATGTCCAGGAGGCCAAGATATTGAGTTATAAATTAATAATGAGGAATTATTGAAAAACTAGTTTAGAGCCTAATTACCATCTATAACTATAGTTTGCCTAATTATTATTTGTAGCTAATGTATCAATTTTGTTGTATCAAACACATACCACCAAATTCATATTTCGCTGTATTAAATTTGTTGTCAGGTCGTATTAATGAATACGGTTTTGATGGAAAAGATATATCAACTATATTTATTTGCGCATAATTGTTGTATCAATGAATACAGTTTTGATGGAAAATTGTATCAACTCTATTCGTTTGTACATAATAGTTGTACCAATGAATACAATTTTGATGAAAAAGTTGTATTACCTGTATTCGTCAAAACATAATGGTTGTATTAATGAATACAATTTTAATAGAAAAATTGTATCTACTGTATTTACATTTAAAAAAAATACACACAAATCCAGCCAGATCTGTGCTGGCCAGATTGAGAAATATAATTAGGGTTTGGGAAAGAAGATGGTTCTTAGGGCTGTGAGGAGCAGTGAGAGATCTGAAAATTGTGTGTTAATAGTAAAATTGCTATAAAATACAAACGTTATGTATATATTGTATTTATTTCAAACTATAATTGTGGTAAATACCCACTAAATATTAGTTATACCATGTAAAAATTCCATCAATGGTCTGTACATGTTCATCGTAAGCGAAGAGTTAACTTGTCGTGTGTCCAGAGTAAGTTATTTACTGCATCTTTGGTTACCAAGTTAGGATAGCAACAACGATTAGAACAAGATATTTACTGGATCTTTGAGTTACTAAATAGGATAGCTACAACAATTACCGATTATTGTCACTCATCTTAATCTGATTACAAAGTTAATTAGACGAATTGAGAATTGAAACTAAAAAGTAGGTTATTGGTTTCCAACTTCATAAACCATATGGAGTAGTATTTAAAATGTAACATTTGGAATTGCTGTCTCCGTGCCTTTTGGCAGATTACCCTCTTCACTCTAACAAACTTCATTACCTGCTTTTCCCATAATGTTTTTTCCTACTCTTCCAGTTGCAGCTTTCTTAAGCCACCTTTTTATTTATTTATTTATTTATTTATGTAAAATTGAAGGTACCATACAATTTTGAGTTGTTATGCCACGGCCACGCCAGTGAAAAACTGCATTGCACCAGAGCAAGGAGAGACAGAGTAGTCGCTAAGCGATTTCATGGCTCCAGAACCACATCTCTCTTTGTGTTCATCGATCGATATTTGTGTGCAACGGCACTCTGCACTACAAAATGCCTTCTCCCCTCTGCAAATATTATAAGGAAAGAAGTTGTTATTCTATCCTTGAAAGGCAGAAGATAGATCTTTGCTGATTAAAGAAAGATTTTTTCTATAACAAGTCAAGCAGAGCAAGATATACTTTAGCCTCAATTATTCCTCACATAAATAATACAGACCACATGCATATACGAACAAGATGTATTAGAGATTCCTGTCACATATTACCTGGAACAAACTGCCTAAATTTCATAAGTTTGAAAATTGTATCGATAGAGAAAGCTACCTAAAAGATTTCCAGCAAGGCCAACTTAATTTTGCAGTAACAGAGTTTACAACTAGCACGACCACGAATATAAAAATTGATTGCAAACAAATTAAAGAAAGCAACAAGTAACTAAAATACCCAGCAGCTTTCTTTACGTGTCCATAATCAATATGTTGCTGCAAAAACCATCTGGTGGTTATAATTTAATAGATAGTTTGCTTAAATTTATAGAAGCAATCTTCCAATATCTCAAACTTAGAATCAACTTTTTCCCACGGAATTAAGTAATGCAATAGTTTATGTCAGCGAGTAAAATAACATGACTACTGACAGAAGCACTGATATTATTAATCAAGTTGAGTAGATTGTAAGAGACATAACTTGAGTGTGTAATTCAAGCAAACATGTCCTAATCCAAAACATATGAGAAAGATTCTTCCTGCCATTATGTAAAGATGATGTACAGCAGTAAGTTATACAAGTTGGAAGAAGATGCCAACAGCCCAAGAATAATGCTAATTAATAAAGATTAACAATACAGCTTCCCAAATAAAAACCAGAAAGCAAGATGGGAAGTACGCTAGATTAGGGTACAGCTCACTATGGCATTTGTGACCAACCAAAATTATAAAATTCGCAGGCAATGCCTTAACAGCTGCAAGAATTACAAATGATCAAGAAAGAAACAGTTGCAAGAAGTACAAATGTAGGTATATCACTTGAGATCTTAAGCACTGGTCATCGGAAACAGTAGATACAAATCCTGAATATCCCTATAACAGAGAGATATCAAGAACATAGGGAATTGAGCAGAGCTAGTCAGTGCCCCTAAGTACACAAAATACTCGTCTTATATAAAGCAGGCCAGGAAGCTTGACATGGCAAAAGTTCCAAGAATGTGTGCTAATAACTTTTGGATGACCTAAAACATGTGATTGTAAAAAGTACTGGTCATGGATAATCTTATGATTTAAAGGCACAGTTCACTGGAAGTTTTCGTTGTAAACCTAAAATAAGTAAAAGGGTCTCCTTTCATAATAGTTAGAACTTTTAGACGAACATACACAATTTAGTTTGACAGCATAGCAGACAAAAATCCTAGGTTCAGGTCTCACCCGAGGGTCTATTGCAGGCCTATAATAAGCAAAACAAATACTTCTCTGTCGTTAATCACTAATGCGTTACAGATCTACAAATAAATGAATAGGTGTATCTTCCCCCTAATATTTTTAAGTTTAGACGAGAAGCTTCACACAATCTAATAAATTTCGATTTCCCAAGGTCAGTCCTCAAATCTTTGATAATCTTTTCATGTCTAAGATCTTTACTTGGAAACTGTCATGCATGTAACCAAGCTAACCCCTCCAAAATGAAGAGACAACGCTCACCTAAACAATCAACTCATTAATACCAGAGTATCTTCTTCCCAAACTATAAAGAATTAACATTCTTCAACCGACAGAGCCTTGCTGAAACCAAATTTGAACGATCACAAGTCTCAGATGATTCACGAGGAAAAAACTACAGCTTAAAGTAAATTGAAGGAAAAGATAAATCTCCACTGACGTATTCAAACTTGCATATATGTTCAATGGTAGCAAAAGAAAAAGGCAAATGAGATGAGATATTCATGAAGCCATCAAACATAAAGGTTCTGAGAGGCCACATTAGAAGAAACGGTTTTCTACTTAAAATCCAGTCAGAGTATGGAATGATCAGTTCTCTCAACCATTTTGCTCAACCATAAACAACCAATAAAAGGTCATGTACACTGTGTTTTAAGCTGCTGTACTTGCAGCCCAGAATATGAACACACTTTTTGATAGCAAAGGAGAACACCGCCCGCATATAAGATAATAAGACACATATGATCACATCATCAAGGTTACCTTTTTTTGGGTAATTAAGATCAGCTCATTAAGAGGAAAATTGACCATAAAGCTTCTTAATTAGTTCCTCTTATCAAACTTACAGCTGCAAGTGACACTATATTCTCAAAAAGTAACAACAGAAGTACATAGATAAAATGGAAATTAGCAAAGAATTTAATCATGCATTTATATCTCAGATCCAAGAAAGTATTACCAAAGAGACCAGTAACATAATCAAAAGCCCAGAAAAAAAGAAGGCAGAAATTGCAAAATTGAAATTCTAACCTGTACATGAAAATATCCAAACCCTGAAGCTGCTTCTTGCAAAGAAAGCAAGAATTCAAGAAATCAGCTGTCCTAAATTTCATTGTATCACCATGATTGACGGTAGCAGTAGCAGATTTTTGGGAGTTGGTGTTTCCTATGAATTCACCATCAAAATACTCTCTTTTCTTAATCAAATTGGTACCCACATGAGAAATCACACAAGTGTACTCCTCACACATCTCCATTTCTTCAATACTAGGCCTCTTACTCATCTTCTTCTTCTTAGCATTATTATTATTATTATTATTATTATTATTATTATTATTATTATTATTATTATTATTATTATTATTATTATTATTATTATTAGCAGTGAAAATTGGGATTGGGTTTGAAGTAGTTGATCTTGGAGATATTGCAAGAATTGCAGCTCTACTATTATTGCTGTTATTAGTCATGGCTGCCACAATTCCAAGCCCAACAACAGCACCATTTGGGTCCTCAAATTTCTTAGGAGATTTGTTGCTGCTGTTGTGATCAGTGAGGGTAAAAAGAGAAAGATTTATTGACAGCCTCTTCTTGTTTCCTTTCACTTCAGCCATTTCCACACCCAGAGAGAGAAAAAGATTTTTAAAAAATTATGGGGTTCTCCTAAATCTCTCTCCCTCTCTCTCAGACACAAAAAAAAACTAAATCTTTCAATACACACACAGACACTGTTTTGGCTGGATCTTCGATGAATTTTAACAGGGGTTTTTCGAGAAAACGGGGATTGATTGAGAAGGGGGTTCTTGGGGTTTAGGGGATATATGTAAATAATATATATATAGAGCTATCTACTGAGAGAGAGAGAGAGAGAGAGAGAGAGAGAGAGAGAGAGAGAGAGAGAAAGAGAGAGAGAGTGGATGAAGAAAAAAGGCAAAGAACAAGTTTTCTCTCTTCACTTTTTTCTGGTTCTCCCTCAGTGCAAAGAGGAGCGCACACACCTCTCTGGTTTTCAGTGGAGGTAGGAGAATATAAACAGTCNGAGAGAGAGAGAGAGAGAGAGAGAGAGAGAGAGAGAGAGAGAGAGAGAGAGAAAGAGAGAGAGAGTGGATGAAGAAAAAAGGCAAAGAACAAGTTTTCTCTCTTCACTTTTTTCTGGTTCTCCCTCAGTGCAAAGAGGAGCGCACACACCTCTCTGGTTTTCAGTGGAGGTAGGAGAATATAAACAGTCACAAATTTAACAAAAGAAATTATATTTGCAATTATTATTTAAATAACTTCAATTTTTCAATCATTTTCTTGCTGAGTTTACATTTCTACCCTTCCAAAAAGATGTGATCTTTGTCATTATCAAACACTTATTTATTTATTTATTTATTTTTAATTCAAGAGAGGAAACAAGAGTGATGCTACAAATGTTTATTTATTTCCAAATAAATGGGATCAATCATTTTCATAAAATAAGAGATTATTAGATAAATGTATATTTTCCTGAAAAAATTGTGTACACATTGTTTTTATGACTAGGTCCTTATTTATGTTATTCTATTTGCATATAATTTAACTTGGTCCATAATTATTTGTATAGTGAATATGCCACTATCACCATCAAAATTCAATGTTGAAGTGATTGAAGTTTTTATAGGTATTTCTTTCACTTTCTAGTTCAATTAAAAAAACATTTAATGTCAGCAAATTGATATATCTTCACTTTAATATAGGTTCGCAACATTTCACTTCTTTATCATCTCACATTACATTTCCTTTTTTTTTCCCCTAAATTCTTTTATCATTCTGTAGTGCGCTTTGAAGTGCCAAACGTATTTTCTATTGGCACTACAATTTTGTGGCAATAAAAGTATATTACATTTATATGTTGCTATTGCACGACTTTGGAATCTTAAACTCTCATCATCCAACTAAAATTCCAAAAGTTCATGCATAATTTATTATGTAATTTAATTGTCTCCTTCTTTTTAATTTCATCCTCTCTTGGATGTATATTCACAGCTTACACATCTATGAAACCAATTTATATCGCTAAAGCCCAACATTTGGTGATCTTTTTTCACAACATTACATTTGGTTTTAACTAGTAGTAGTTCGTACTAGTTTGTCATTCTAGTAGTGTGCCTGTAGTTACTACTTGTTTTGCTTATAGTTGGACCGTTGCTGCTTGTGTTAGCGTTTTCCCTAGGCTGTTGTAAGTATAGTGGCTGGGTTCTGTAATGGTGGAGTAAGGGTATGTCCTCGGGGTGAGGGGGAGGGGTCGGGAGGCAGGAGATAGGGGAAGGGACAGGGCCCAAAGGGGGTAAGGGGACCAATGGAGTATATAGGTTGAGAATTGGATCGTGGAACATAGGGATATTGGCGGGTAAGTTTATAGAGTTGGCGAAGATTCTTCAGAAGAGGAAGGTCAATATAGCTTGTATTCAGGAGATTAAGTGGGTAGGATCGAGGGCGAGGAATGCGAACGGGTATAACTATGGTACTCGGGAGGCAGGAAAGGTAAGAACGGAGTGGGTATTTTGGTGGATAGGGAACTCAGAGAGTCAATGGTAGAGGTCAGACGAGGTGAATGATACATTAATGACGATTAAGTTAGTAGTTGGAGGGATCACTCTAAATGTTATTAGAGCCTATGCGCCACGGGCTTAGATGAGGAGGTTAAGAGATGTTTCTGGGAGAGGTTGGACAAGGTGGTGCGTGGTGCACCGCTTGCGGAGAAGTTATTCATAGGTAGGGATTTTAATGACATTTAGGGTCGTCTGTTGGTGGCTATGGCGAGGTGCATGGCGGCTTCGACTTTGAGGATAGGAACGGAGGAGGTACCTCACTGTTGGATTTCACTAGAGCTTATGAGTTGGTGATAGCGAACTCTAGTTTTTCGAAGATGGAGGAGCATTTGGTTACTTTCCGGAGTACCGTGGCTAAGACTCAGATTGATTACTTCCTCCTCAGGAGATGTGATAGGCGGCTTTACAAGAATTGCAAGGTTATCCCGAGTGAAACCCTCGCTACACAATATAACCTCTTGGTAATGGATATCGATATATTATTAAAGAGGAAGAAGAGGTTTGTTTGGGGTCAATTGAGGATCATGTGAGGGGCCTTGAGGAGGAATAAAGATCAGGAGTTAGAGGGGAGGTTGATGGCTATGGGAGCCTTGAGGAGTAGCAAGGACGCTAGCGAGATGTGGACATCGACAGCGGATTGTATAAGAAAGGCAGCGAGTGAGGGGCTAGGGTTCTCAAAGGGTTACTTTGGCAGTTACCGAGGCGACTGGTGGTGGAATGACATGGTCCAAGGTAAAGTGAAAGTAAAGAAAGCAATGTATCTTAGGTTAGTAGAGAGCATAAACGAGGAAGAGAGGAGAGCGAATAAAGAAGGGTATAAGGATGCCAGGAAGGAGGCGAAGTTAGCGGTCACAGAGGCTAAAGATGCAGCATTTGATCGTCTGTACAAGGAGTTGGGGGTCAAAAGAGGGGAGAAAAAGTTATTTCGGTTGGCCAAGGCAAGAGAGAGGAAGGATCATGACCAGATTAAGCGGAGATGGCAGGATTACTTTCTTTGGCTTATGAATAAAGAAGGGGACAAAGACATTGTGCAGCACTCCGGGAGTCACCAAAACTTAAGGTATTGTAGGTGTATTAAGGCTGAGGAGGTCGTGGGAGCTTTGTGCAAGAGAAGTAGGGGCTGAGTGACCGGGCCAGACGTAATTCTGGTGGAATTATGGAGGTGTATGGATATAGCAGGCTTAGAATGGTTGACTGCGCTATTTAATGTTATCTTCAGGATGAAGAAGAATGGAGGTAGAGTATAATGATACCATTGTATAAGAACAAATATGACATTTAGAATTATAACAACTACAGGGGCATAAGTTACTAAATCATACCATGAAAGTTTGGGAGAGGGTGGTGGAAGGGAGGGTGAGGAGGGCGGTATCTATATCCGACAATCATTTCAGGTTTATGACGGGTCGTTCCATTACGAAAGCTATCCACCTTATCAGGAGGTTGGTGGAACAATACAGGGATAGGAAAAAGAATTTGCACATGGTGTTTATTGACCTAGAAAAAACGTATGACAAGGTTCCTAGGGAGGTTCTTTGGAGATGTCTGGAGGTGAACGGTGTGTCGGTAGCTTATATTAGGGTAATAAAATACATGTATGATGGAGATAAGACTCGGGTTAGGACTGTGGGAGGTGACTCAGAGAACTTCTCAGTTGTTATGGGATTGCACCAAGGATCTGCACTCAACCCGATCTTATTTGCCCTAGCGATGGATGCGCTAACACACCATATTCAAGGGGAGGTGCCATGGTGTATGTTGTTCGCTGATAATATACTTCTGATTGATGAGACGCGAGGCGGCGTTAATGAGAGGCTGGAGGTTTGGAGATAGATCTTTGAAACTAAAGGTTTCAAGTTGAGCAGGACTAAGACAAAATATCTAGAGCGTAAGTTCAACGATACATTGAGGGAAGTAGACATGGATGTGAGGCTTGACTCACAATTCATCCCCAAGAGAGGAAGTTTCAAGTACCTTGGGTCAATTATTCAGGAGATAGGAAGATAGACGAGGATGTCATGCACCATATAAGAGCAGGGTGGATGAAATGAAGGTTAGCATCTAGAATTTTGTGTGACAAGAAAGTGCTACCGAAACTCAAAGGCAGGTTCTATAGAGCGGTGGTCAGACCAGCCATGCTGTATGGGACTGAGTGTTGGGCAGCCAAGAATTCTCATACTCAGAAGATAAAAATGGCAAAAATGAGGATGTTGAGATGGATATGCGGGCAAACTAGACTTAATAAAATTAGGAAAAAAGATATTCGGGAGAAGGTTGGCGTGACTTCCATGGATGACAAGATGCGGGAAGCAACGCTTAGATGGTTCTGGCACGTGCGGAGGAGAAGCATAGATGCCCCGGTTAGGGGGTGTGAGCAGTTGACATTGGCAGGTACGAGGAGAGGTAGATGACGACCTAAGAAGTATTAGGGTAAGGTGATCAGGAAGGACATGACGCGACTTCAGATCTCCGAGGACATGGCTCTGAATAGGAAGGTATAGAGGTCGAGCATTAGAGTTGTAGGTTATGAGGGAGCCGAACATTTTTCTATGTTGTTCTGGGGGCGGGGATGGGCTGATAATGTTTTGATGTGGGTTGTTAATAGTTTATATAGTTTCCTCACTATTTTCTATGGCATTATTGCTGGTTATTGTTATTGCTTTTACATCTATTTTTCTATTTTTTACGATGCTGATACTATTTTTCTGGCTTCTGTTGTTGTCATGATCTATTGTCTATTGTCTGCGTATACTCTACCTTCCCCATACCTCACTTGTGAGATTTAACTGAGTTGTTGTTTTTCATTTGGTTTTAACATGAACAAGTAGTAAGATCTCGAGAGTCCAAATTGAGTAAGAATATCATGTAAAAAAATTATTTAGGACGAAAACGATAAAATTGAATTACCAAGTATAAGAAGCCGACATAAAATTAGAGTTTATATTTTCTTTTGTAATCACAATATATTTTAGAGACATTTAACTTAGAAGTTTCCTAGTATTCTTATGATATTTAGGTAAAGTTAATTGATTTCGTAGTTACAAGAAAATAATTTAGTATTTTGGTATAAAAAAGATATTTTAGAAATACGATTAGGAATGAAGATATTCGGGACAAGGTGGGAGTGACTTGTGTGGGGGACAAGATGAGGAAAACGAGGCTGAAATGGTTCGAGCACATGAAAACGAGAAGCATAAATGCCCCAGTGAGGAGGTGTGAGAGGTTGGCTATGGCGGGTCCAAGGAAAGGTAGATGTAGTCTGAAGAAGTATTGAGGAAGAGGTGACCCGGCATGATATCACATTTTTAGTTTTTTGAGGACATGACCCTTGATAGGAGGGTGTGGAGGCCTAGGATTAGAGTAATACGTTAATAAGAGTCAAGCGTATTTATTTTTCATAGCTGTAGTACTAATGATATCATCGTGTTCCCTATTTTTAGATCGCTATTATT